TCAGGTGGTGCAACGAGACCTTCACGGCCCCGATGGCGACCGACGGGGTCGCCAAGGCTACGACCCTAGCCATCATCAAATGGCTCTGGTCCACAGAGAAGACCGCGGACATGAGCTACGAGCTGCACGAGCACAGCTACCAAGACAAGCGCGCCAAGCGGGACGACTCGAAAACCGTCAAGCAGGAGAAGCGCGAGGAGGTGCTCCACGAGAACCACATCGAGCTGCACTTCGACAAGCATGCGTCGATCCAGGAAGAGCACGACAAGCTCACCACGAACAAGCGCGATAAAGAGGGGGGCCAGCCCGACACGAAGGCCGAGTCAGAGCCCGCCTCGCTCATGCTCGTGGACGCCTGAGCGCACGAGCCCCCCGATCCAAGCGCCCCATGTTTTTCGCTGCGAAGGCGCCGTTTCGGGGCACGCACTCGAGCCCCATCTGCTTTTCAAGCTCCAAGAGATCGCTCGAGCACGCGCGAGCGGCGTTCCAAGCTGCGGGGTACTGCCCCCCCCCTCTCGCCGAGTGATCCTCGATCAATCATCAAGGAATCAAGCGGGCTCGATCCTGCACCCTCGGACCGGTGATCCGAGATCTCGAGTCCGAGCATCTCCGGGCACCTTGGGTCCTAGATCCGAGGGTCGCCAAAATTGGGCTCGAAGATCTCGGGTTCGCGATCCGAGGGTCGACGATCGAGCCTCGGCGACCCTCGATCGTCACATTGCCATCAAGCATGCTCGATTCTCCATCCTCGGATCGAGGATCCGGGATCTTGAGTCCGAGCATCTTCGAGCACCTTGGGTCCTAGATTCGAGGGTCGCCAAGTTTGGACTCGAAGATCTCGGGTTCGACACCCGAGGCTCGAGGACCGAGCATGGGCGATAGTAGATCGCCCTCGCCGCCGTCCTCGAGCCCACACTGCCACCCAGCAGGCTCGACCCTCCATCGTCAAATCAAGGATCCGAGATTTTGGTCTTGAGCATTTGCGAGCAAATCGGACCCTAGATCCGAGGGTCACCAAGCTTGGACTGGAAGATCTCGGGTTCGACATCCGAGGCTCGAGGACCGAGCCTCGGCAATGGTTGATCGCCCCTCTCGCCGTCCTCGAGCCCACACTGCCACCCAGCAGGCTCGATTCTCCATCCTGCGATCGAGGATCCGAGATCTTGGTCTTGAGCATCTGCGAGCACCTCGGATCCCAGATCAGATGGTCGCAAAACTTGGACTGGAAGATCTCGGGTTCGACATCCGATGCTCGAGGGCCGAGCCCGGCGCTTCTCTGGTCGTCCTCGGGCCCACACTGCCACCGAGCAGGCTCGATCCTCCTTCCTGTGATCGAGGATCCGAGATCTTGGTCTTGAGCATCTGCGAGCAGATCGGACCCTAGATCCGAGGGTCGCCAAGCTTGGACTGGAAGATCTCGGGTTCGACATCCGAGGCTCGAGGACCGAGCCCAGTGCTTCTCCGGTCGCCCTCGGGCCCACACTGCCACCGAGCAGGCTCGATCCTCCATTCTCGGATCGAGGATCCGAGGTCTTGGTCTTGAGCATCTGCGAGCACCTCGGATCGTAGACCCGAAGATCGCCAAGCTTAGACTCCAGGACGTCGGGTCGTCGATCCGAGGGTCGAGGGTTGAGCCTCGAGACCTGGCGGCCAGGCGCGCACAAACGCGCACGCACACGCGCACACACTCAAACACACCAACGCACACACATACACACACCAACGCACACACACACACACACACACACACACACACACACACACACACACGCACACACGCACGCACATACACACACACACACAGACACACACGCACGCACGCGCACGCGCACACGCACACGCGCACGCACACACACACACACACACACACACACACACACACACACACACACACGCACACGCACACGCAAACTCGCACATCCGCATACTCGCACATTCACACACACAACACACACACACACACACACACACTCCCGCACACACACACACACACACACACACACACACAGACACACACGCACGCACGCGCACACAAGAACACAAACACAAACAACAGCAGCCACGACAGCAAGAGCAAACAGCAAAACAGAAGCAACAGCAGAGCATAACAGCATCAAGACAAACAGCAAGCAGAACAAACAATAGCTGCACACCCGCACGCTCGCAAACAAGAGCAAGACGAACAAGAAGAGCAAAAGCAACACGACACACAAGAACAGCAGCGAGACAAACAACACGAATCACAAACAACCGTGGCCAATTAAGGCTCAAGCATTCCAAGCCAGCTGAGGACGCAGCACACCATGGCCGAGACGCAGAACCCCATGGCCGAGTCGGACAGCGACGATCGTCGGCCTGTCGCCGAGCGGTCGGACGACGAGAGCGTCGGCGAGTGGGCGAAGGGCGACGAGTGGACGAGGGAGACGGAACCCACCGAGCTGGGGGAGGACGCCAGCAAACCCGAGGACGAGAGCCTCGAGGACAAGAAGCTTGACGAGAAGGCCACGCTCGAGGTCAAGAAGCTCGACGACAAGAAGGCCACGCTCGACGACAAGAAGCTTGACGACAAGAAACGCAGGCGCCTCTGCAAGCCCGCAACGACGAGGCAGCGCGATGCCTCGCAGGCCTCGGCCCCTATGGGGCCACGAAACGCTGTCCTGGGCGGGGGAGACGCATGCGAACACCCCCGCTGGGGCTTTCGGTGGAGCTCCCTATGGGGCCACGAAACGCTCTCCTGGGTGGGGGAGACGCATGCAAACACCCCGATTGAAGCCTTCGGTGAAGCTCCCTGGGGCCACGAAATACTGTCCTGGGTGGGGGAGACGCATGCGAACACCCCTACTGGGGCCTTCGGTGGAGCTCACAATGGGATCACGAAACGCTGTCCTGGGTGGGGGAGACGCATGCGAACACCCCCAGTGGGGCCTTCGGTGAAGCTCCCTATGGGGCCACGAAACGCTGTCCTGGGCGGGGGAGACGCATGCGAACACCCCAATTGAGGCCTTCGGTGGAGCTCCCTATGGGGCCACAAAACGCTGTCCTGGGTGGGGGAGACGCAGGCGAACGCCCCCAGTGGGGCCTTCGGTGGAGCTCCCTATGGGGCCACGAAACGCTGTCCTGGGTGGGAGTGACGCATACGAGCACCCCCACTGGGGCCTTCGGTGGAGCTCCCTTGGGGCCACGAAACGCTGTCTTGGGTGGGGGAGACGCATGCGAACACCGCCACTGTGGCCTTAGGTGGGGCTCCCTGTGGGGCAACTAAACGTGTGAGGGGTGTGACGACATGGGCGGTGGGGACGATGATGGTGACGATGATGAGGAGGATGTGGATGCGGATGATGCTGCAGATGATGATGATGCTGATGGATGATGGGTGACGGTGATGATGGTGACGATGGCGTACGGAGAGGAAGGAGACGATGGTAATGATGATGATGATGATGATGATGATGATGATGATGATGATGATGATGATGATGATGATGATGATGATGATGATGATGATGATGATGATGATGATGATGATGGGAGGGGAGGAGGAGGAGGAGGAGGAGGAGGAAGAGGAGGAGGAGGAGAGGAGAGGAGAGGAGAGGAGAGGAACGCGGGGCGCTGCCTCTTCATAACGAGGACCCAACACCACAGGATGGTTGGGAAAAACTCGATCCTCGATCATCGACGCTCCCTCCTCCTCCTCTTCCTCCTCTTCCTCCTCCTCCTCCTCCTCCTCCCCCTCCTCCCTCCTTCCTCCTTCCTCCTTCCTCCTTCCTCCTTCCTCCTTCCTCCTTCTTATCCTCCTCTTTTCCTTAACAACAACTCCTCCCTGTCGCGCCCTCAGACGTGTCGGTAGGGCGGGCCGGGCGTCTCGAATGAGACTTCAACCCAATGCACGGCTCTGAAACTTGAACCCTGCAGCAGTTTCAAGGATGGAAGGTGGGCCCTTTACAAAACGGGACTCTCGCCGCAGCGCCGCGCATATTCGCTTCTAGAGACTGGAACAGATTCAAGGATTGAGGGCGGTTCCCTTTCAAAATGAGGCTCTCGCCTCAGCGCCGCGCACATTCGTCTGAAAAACGACGGCTTCGAGGATCATGGGCGGGTCGTTTCCAAAATGTGGATCTCGCATGAGCGCTGCGCACATTCGTCCGAAAAGTCTGCGACGGCATCAAGGATGGAGGGAGGCTACTTCCCAAAACAGGGTTTTCGCCTGAGCGCCGCGCACATTCGTCTTCATCAAAGTTCACGAGTGTCACACGAATAGTCTTCGCTTGAGACTTGAACAAATGCAACAGCTGCACGGATTGAGAGCGGTTTCTTTTCAAAATTGGGCGTTCGCTTGAGACTTCTTAGAACTTGAAAAATTTGTAGACCAGGAACTGGCACGTATGATAGAGCTGCATGGCTAGAGGGCGGCTCATTCTCAAAAAGAGGCTCTCGCTTGAGACTGCCTCGACGCCAATGGCCAGAAAGGAAAACTTGCGCAAGGATTACACAGACTGGGGCGGTCTTTTTTGCAAAGCGGGGATAGACCTGGACACCTCGTTGAACTAGATTATTATACTACTGCGCATTCCTTCTTACTCGCTGGAAGAATACAGGGTAGGTAGATCCATTTCAAAGCATGGCACTCGCCTCAGTGGCAGGCAGAGAGTCCTGGTTTGTCAAAGGGGTGCTTCTTGAATTGGAAAAGAAAGCTTGTGGAACTTATGGGGATGGGACTTGGGGCGGGGGGTATTGCAGCATCGTTCATGCATCTTGGGCTTCCCTCCTCCTCCTCCTTCTCATCCTCACCTTCCTCGTCCTCCTCGTCTTCCTCGTCTTCCTCGTCTCAATGGACCCACACGTTACCACAGAACACCTAAAGAGCGCCCCGAGCGGTCCATGAGCGAAGACTCGGCTCGGACCCACACATGCTTCGCAAAGGCACCACACTGCCCTAGCGTCGTTCCGTGAATCGTTCGAAATCGCCTGCAGCGTACCTTAACGTTAATCTCCTCCCGATCCTCTACCACGAGACCGATGACGGAGTCGCCCTCCATCAGGGACGAGCCGTTCGTCTGGGAGCTGTGCACCTGCGTACAAGCCACTGGGACAAATTTGTGACAATTAATCAGGAGAGCGGTTAAATTGGGTTAAGCTCCAGCTCGCCGCCAGAGAAGGAACGTGAAAGGGAGACCGGTCCATTGTTGAAGTAGAAAGGCGCTTGATGCACGTCGGGATCCAAACCCCGAACACACAACACACACACACACAAACACACGCTTACGCATACGCAAACTCTATCTCTCTCTCTCTCTCTCTCTCTCTCTCTCTCTCACGCACTCACGCACACGCACACGCACACACAAACACACACAATAAAAATACAAACACACACACACACACACACACATACACACACACACACACACACACACGCACAGGCGGCCCAGCGACTCGCCAGGGCGTTGGGCGCACGGCCGGCGGCCGAGCGCGCAATAGTTGGTAGAAAAAACAAGAAAGAGACGCAAGACAAGGCGAGGCGGCCGGACCATTAAGGGCGGTGGCCAGGATCAGTTTGGCAGATCGCAGCCCCCCAGGGCTGGCGAGGTCAAATTGAAGTCTGGGTAAGACGTCACTCCGCTGGACCCCCCAGCAGGCCTCGAAAGTGGCGACGGTTGCAGATCGCAGCCCCCCAGGGCTGGCGAGGTCGAATTTGAGTCTGGATAACACGTCACTCCGCTGGACCAACCAGCAGTCCTCGAAAGCGGCGACAGTTTCGCAAATCGCAGCCCCCCAGGGATGGCCAGGTAGGAGGCAAGCTGGCACGCAGGAGGGAGCAAGGTGAGAGGCAGGAGAGAAGGGGAGAGGGGGCGGGAAGGAAGGAAGGAGGGAAGGTCTGCTACCGCAGTACTCTACTCAAAACGAAAACCTAACGCACGAGGGTTGAGAATACAAAGTCTTAACAAAGCACCTTCAACATCTCATTCCCTGCCTAGGCTCTGCCTAGAACGGTTCTTACCCTGTATGCTTCAAGGGCCGGGCAGTGCTCCCCGCCCCGGGCGGTTCCCCCAGGATCCGCCCCGCGGTTCCCCCAGTCCCCTGGGAGCTTTAGCTTTAGCTTTAGCTTTAGCTTTAGCTTTAGATTTAGCTTTAGCTTTAGCTTTAGCTTAGCTTTAACTTAGTTTTAGCTTAAATTTAGTTTAGATGTAGCTCAGAGTTAGCTTAGCTTTAGCTTTAGCTTTAGCTTTAGCTTTAGCTTTAGCTTTAGCTGTAGCTTAGCTTTAGCTTAGCTGTAGCTTAGCTGTAGCTTAGCTGTAGCTTAGCTTTAGCTTAGCTTTAGCTTAGATGTAGCTTAGCTTTAGCTTAGATTTAGCTTAGCTTTAGCTTAGCTGTAGCTTAGCTGTAGCTTAGCTGTAGCTTAGCTTTAGCTTAGTTGTAGCTTAGCTTTAGCTTAGCTTTAGCTTAGCTTTAGTTTAGCTTTAGCTTAGCTTTAGCTTGGCGTTAGCTTAGCTTTAGCTTAGCTTTAGCTTAGCTTTAGCTTAGCTTTAGCTTAGCTTTAGCTTAGCTTTAGCTTAGCTTTAGCTTAGCTTTAGCTTTAGCTTAGCTTTAGCTTAGCGTTAGCTTAGCTTTAGCTTAGCTAGCTTAGCTTAGCTTTAGCTTAGCTTTAGCTTAGCTTTAGCTTAGCTTTAGCTTAGCTTTAGCTTAGCTTTAGCTCCGAGGGGCTCCAACTCCTAGGTGGGGTCGCACTGGGATAATTTCTTTCGAAAACGTCTCGAGCGAAAACATCCGAAAAACGAAGAACTTGCACCGACGGGGGCGGAAGCGCGCGGCATTCCGCGCACGCGCGCTTCAAGCACGCACGGCAAGACCATATGCACTCCTTGAAACAATGCGCGGAGTAATGCCGACACAGCAGGCATAGGCCTCCCTTCTCTTTCTAGCAACGGCTACACTCCAAAGGACCTCCCCGATCCAGGGCGCAAGAACATTCGGAACACGCGCGAGTTCTCTCGCCGCAACCAGACGCAGCGCACGCGGAGCCCGTCATGAGAGCCCGCGAAAATTCGAAACGACAGAGGTCGCCCGAAGCCCTCAACGAGGCACGGCCGCGGCACTAGTCGGAGGCCCGGTCATCCTCGGGAGTGCGCGTTGGGCATCTCATGGCGAAGGTGCGGCGGTAGCTGAACTACTCTTCGCGTGACCTACGCACGCAACGCAGCGCGCGGGCGGCGTGTCAACGTTGACCCACGAACATCCCTCCCCTTGGCAGGCGCGCTCCCGAAAAAACGGCTGGCACATGCCATCACGGAAGATCTCTCTCACTGCGCGCTGAGCAGGGTTCTGCTGTTTGTGGCAACCCTGGCAAACGACACCGTAGCCTGTTTGGGCATAGGGCGCGTCCTTCTTTGTTCTGTGGTAGCCTGGGCACAGCGGCCGCACGTTTGGCATCACGCGGGTTCGCCGCACCAGCGTGCCGCAGACGTAAATGTGCAACCAAAACCGAATATGGAGCATCTGGCACAAATTGACGGAAGGACGGCAGAGACGATCCTGCTCCAGAAAGTACGAGGCCGAAACTTGCGAAACACATTCGAGCCAGAAACACAACAATAAGGCAATACATCAAAAGGACACGGAAACACAACAACGCGCTCCAACTGGTGAATCGCATAGTCGATCCTGATACTACGTGCCCCAAGCCTCGCGCATACGTGTGCACGCTCGTCGCGTTATGCACGCGCGCGCAGCGTACGTATGTGCGTATATTGCCACTTGCGTGCCCACCACCAAGACCAACACTACTAGCAGCAGCAACACCTCGGCGGCTACAGGATTTACGACTGCCCCCCCTGTCTCACGACTCCCCTCGATTTGTCTCACGACTGTCCAGCACCAGCGCCACCACCACCACTAGCACGACCAGCAACAACAGCACCCCAGCGGCTACAGGTTTTACGGCTGTCCCCCCTGCTGGCCCCACGGCTGCCCCCTCAATTCGTCTCACGACTGTCCAACACCAGCACCAACACCAACACGACCGGCAACAGCAGCACCCCAGCGGCTACAAGTTTTACGGCTGCCCCCTGTGTTGGTCTCACGACTGTTCCCTTCTATTTGTCTCATGGCTGTCCAATAGCAGCACCACCACCAGCATCGATGATTGTGTTATACCGTTTGCGTGCAACCTCTCGTTCCGCACGATCGCACAGTTTACATGCAACTCTACGTTGCGCAAATAGACCCTAATTGCAACATAACTCCAAATGGCCCCAGATGAGCGGCTGCACGCAACATGGGAGCCGGCACGCAAGCAAGACAAACTTGAGGATCGCTCGTAAGCATTGGAATATCGATGATTGCGTCGTGCCGTTTACGTGCAACCGCTCGTTGGCACCATTGCACAATTTACCTGCAGTCTACCCTTCTTTCTGCACCAGTGACCATTGAAAATGCCACATAAGTCAAACGGCCCAAAATGGCCCACTGCTCGTAGACGGTTCGACATCGAGCACGGGCGTTTGCACTTAAACACTACTACAATCCTGAGGGCTGTAGATGTTGCACAAAGTACGTGCAGCCTCTCGTTCTGCACCATCGCGCGGTTTGCACGAACTCGGTCGTTGCTGCACAAATTGTCGAACATGCAACATCGCCCCAAACGGCCTAAGCTGACACTGCACGCAAACGGTGCGAAATAGAACATGGTACCCTGCACGTAACCAATACAAACTGAAGCTGCCCGCATGCGGGGGGCGATCGATGATTGTGTTGTACCGTGTACGTGCAGCCCCCCGCTTTGCACACTTGCACAATATAAGTGCAATCGACTGCTGCTGCGCAAACTCACGCCGTACACCCCCCCCCCGCCCGTTTCCCCCAAAACACGCCCAGCACGCACGCCGTGCACCCCCCCGCCCGTCCCCCCACAACACGCCCCGCACGCAAGCCATACACCCCCCGCCCCGTCCGCCCAGAACACGCCATGCACACGCGCGCGCACGCACGCACACGGCCGCACACACAGCCGCACGCACAGGCACACTGGCACACACAGGCACACACAGGCACACGCACGCACGCGCACACACTTTTCCGTCGGCGGCTAGGCAGATTCATTGCGCTGGCGATGGGGTGTTGGTGGGTGCACGAACGCAAATTCATGTCACTATGCAGGAGGAGGGAGGAGGCGCCCGGCGGCGGCGGGGGGGAAGGAAACGCACACGCACACAGACACACACACACACACACACACACACACACACACACACACACACACACACACACACGCGCACACGCACATCCGCACGCGCACACAATTTTGGGGTCGGCGGCTAAGCAAGGTGACTGCGCTGGCGCACAAGACAGAGCTGGAAAAACAATTGCGCATTGAGCCGCAATGCGCGGGGGAAGGGAAGACGAACGCCGGGGGCGGGAAGGAGGAGGAAGTCGGGCAATCACACAAACGTACACAGGCCATGCATTCCAGCTGACCAAAGCAACCACGGGCAACCCCTAAGTCCAAGCTATAAGTCATTTGCCAGCTATTTGTTGCCAAGGCTCTTGCCCAGCTGATAGGCAAAATTTGATCACGCTCATCTCGTGACTGTTCTTATTCATCTTCTTCCTATAGTAGTCTCATGCTCAGGTTCAACGCGCTCATAGGCGATGAACTCCTGCTCGCCATGGCAACATGGGCGCACACACGCGCCCGTTAAGCTTAGGCCGACAAGACGGATAACAGACGGCCCGGCCGGCGGGGGGGGGGCGCCCGAGAGGTCGCGCGCGCGCGGCGGGCGGGGAGCTGCCTTCTCGAGCCAACACACAGCTTCGGTCGCATAGCTGCGCGCCGGAAGCGGGCACGGGGGGGCGACTAAATCAACTCCCCCCGCGGCCAGCCCGGCGAGCTCCACTCGCGCGGGCGGGCGAATCTGATTTAGGCATCGCCCTTAAATGCACGCGCGCGTCTCGACACGCAGCGCCCGGCAGACAGCGCCCCCAGCCTAGCTCGCCGCGCAAAAAAAAAAAAAAAAAAAAAAAAAAAAAAAAAAAAAAAAAAAAAAAAAAAAAAAAAAAAAAAAAACGGGCGCAT